TCCCATTCAAAATTGCATCCATTGCTGCAAATTGGTCGTCAAATGCCCCATAGAAAGCCTTGTAGAAATTGTTCCTGAAATGACAAATAAGAATAGCAGATTGTAGGTGAATACAGATCTTTACCCTTTTCACTAAAGAAATAATGACAAATTAGCATTTACCGTTCTTCCTCGGTGATCAGTTGATCCATTCCTTCAAATTTGCGGGTAAGCACTTCTGCTCCCACTGGTGAAAGCAAGTGCAGTATTAAAGCCTCCAAAGTTCTTGGAAAACTATTCTGCAAAATATTATATAAAAGTTGCATATAAGACTGAGAAATTTATTTTTATAAAACAAAATGGTAGTGGTTGGTTATTCGAGTCACTAATATATAGTTATCCTACAGTGTCTCCCTTTACCACCTTGCCATGATGGCATTACTAAATGGTATAGCTTATAAGACTCACTAAAAGTCATAGAGCGTAAGAAGGTTAAAAGAAAAGAAGGAAGAGGGGAGTGTCCTGCCCAGCTGCATTCTCGTAAAGAAATACAGAAACAAGACAAAAAGCAGTCAAGCCTTCAAACACTACTGGACTTAATGAAAGGATAAACTATTATGGCTCACTTTTCCGTTAGATGGGACAATTTTCACTGGTAAAAGCGTAGAAACATAGTTATAAAGCACAAGAAACCAGAATAGTAGGCAAAAATAGGGAATAAAGACGGCCTTTGAATCTAAAAGAAATGAAGCTCCTCTAGATGACAACTTTCTCCTATCCAAGTAAGATGACCTGCTAGCTAATTAAGCTGTTACTGTTTGGCATGCAAGACACGCCAAACATTAATAGAAAGACCTTGCTTTATCACTTTCTCTTGATAATAACAAACAACTCTCATGAAACGAGAGTCGACTCGCCTATTAGTCTACAAGTTTAAGTTTTACAGTGAAAGTAAAAATGTTCAAACTCACCACCATGGCAAGAAATACATTTTTCAAAGTGATGGGGTGAAGAGTCCAAAAGATTTTAGCAACTGGATCATCTTCCAAGCTAAACGAACCCGGTCTCACAACTTTGATGCATTCATCTTTCACATTAGCTGCAGAAGCAGTTGTTGAAGCGGATTGCACTGGTTGTCTTTGCTCAGCAGCATTAACATGACCATGAACTAAAGAAATAAGTTCATGAAGAGCAAGGACGGCAAGGGGCTCCAGTACATGCGACATAAATCTTTGGTCTACTTCCTTCCCTTTAAGATCCTTTCTCTCACATGCCTGATCCAAAGCGTTGTCATTGTGATCTGGGTGTAATATCAAGTTAGGGATGTCGGCAAACAGAGGATTTACACGGCCATAAAGATTCACTACAAGTTTTTTTTTTTTTACCAAATAATCTTAATACATAATGATAATCAGTGAGCTCATAGAAAGTTACAAACTGACCTACTTGTCCTTTTTTAAGCACTATACCAGTATGCTTCTTCATGTTCTCCATTTCAGATAAAGAAGGTACAGGCAGCACTCGGTCCTGTCCTAAAATAAAAAATAATAAAATAAATATACTTATAGTGCTCAATTACAAAACTTCTGATTCAAAGCTAAAAACAAAGGCGGAAGAAAACGCAGTCGATGTGAACACAAAGTTTTCAAATACGACAAAAATAAAATGATAAAGCATATACCAATATAGAACAATATGTTTACTTATATGTTTCCATATTGTAACTTAAAACTTGTTATTTTGAAAATAAACGCACAAATAAGAATGTCTACCAATGTGTGTGTTCGTGTGAGAGAGAGAGAGAGAGAGAGAGGTACACACCATTTCTCTATCTGTCAGTCTTTTGATGCGGATTGGACAAGTAAACGACACATGTGAGAGATACAAAATAATGTTAGCTTGTTCCGTTAATGCTTTGCATACTAACTAAAAGGAAACAATACCACAAACCTTCTTAATATTATGCGCAGATAATATGCATCCATGTGTTCTGACATGTTTAACGCTACATTGGACCGCCACCAAAAGTTCACGGCAATGGTCAGATCATCACTATCGACCTGGTGGAACCTGTAGCAAAAATAAATAACCACTATGAATAAAAAGGTCACGCTAAAGTCTTATATTATAAGAAGACAAAAAAAAAAAAAAAAGACTCCTAATGAACACACTAATGGATATTAAACCTTACCAGCCTTCAGGAATGAAAAGGGCGTCACCTGGCTGAAGAGTAAGCTTCTGCGAGTGCTGCATTAAACATTGTGCTCTTGGATAATTTGAAAAGTTTGGGTTCTCTAAAGGAACAGAACTGCAAGAAGGCGTAAATTATAAGATTGAAAGACTGCAATTCGTTCTCTTTGTTGATAGAACAATAGATACAAATAACTAATAGAAGCATAAAATTTTCATGATTAAATAATTACAAAGATATCTAATCTGAATTCATATTTATTATTTCAGGTACTATACCTGTGATTTGATGCCTCCCCATATATTGGCCTAGGGTATAGCATAGGACTTGCTGAAGGAGGCCATAAAACCACTGTGAAACATGCAAGCTTTTATTAGAAAAATTCCAGAAATAAAAAAATCTATTTAGACAAATTTTACACACTAACATAGTTGGGGACACTGAACAAAGTTAAGTTCTATCTTCAAATCTCAAACCAACTTGTTCTAGAAATCAAATAACCCTTAAATCAGTGGCCTTCTAAGAATAAAACAAAAAAAAAATCACTTTTGTAGGGATGCAAATAAACAATAAGAGGGAAAATCAATTTGCTTTCTTGGCAGATAATCATTCAGTGATATAGAGAACCGGCAACATGAAACCTATCTAACCATTCTGAAGTTGGACAGAGCATGATGCACTAAGAGAGCCAGAGAAAATGATTCTACCTTGTTTGCCGCCAGAGACTACACAGAGAAGGTTATGGTGTGGATCATAGTGAGTACTTGATCTAGCTTGAGCATTGTTCATCCACAAGTTGATAGAAACTATTACTTTGTCCTCCAAAAATACAGGCTAAAGTGGTCATTAGAAATCAAGGATGAGAAAAAAGGATTCATTAGTGGAAGGCTGTAGGATAAACAACAAGGACTAGTACAAGAAACTCACGAACCGTTTGGATATCCTCCCTCAAAGATCCTAGTTGAACCCTCTCTTCAGTTTCAGTATTGATTATTGGGATCTGAATCACATATAATAAAAGTTATGTCCCAAATATGTGACCCTTCAAAGAAAACTAATCAGTCTAACATATTAAAGAAAGTTAGCCGAATAATGACTAATCAAGCCATTAACAAAGCCTTTGAAGGTTAAACCTGTGCTAAATAGATTTGTTGAGGAGCATCCTCATAGGGCTTACTGTCATACTCAGATGAAGACTCCAGTAGCCCATGCTGATCTGATTCAACACCTGAACCATCCTCCGAATGATGCATGCGTTTCTTACATAGACCAATGAATGCAGAAAATTGCAGCGGTACCTACAGATGGAAGGGGTAGTAAACTAGTTAGGGCTAATGAGATCCAGAAGAGAGTATTTCAGACCATTCACCAGGGACATACAAATTACTTACCCTCTCATGGCTTCTAATATCACCATTGAATACAGGTGCTGAATCAGATAGCATAGCTTCCACAACACACAATCCAACTCGCTCCTAATTTTCCATTCGTAGAGACCATATAAATCACAAACTTCAATTTAACGAAAGCAAAGAAATCAACGATCTACGCAACGAGCAAATAACTTAAAAATGAAACAAAAAATTACTTGTTAATCCCTGAAAAACTACACAGTCAGCTCCCTAAGGCCTAATTCAGTAGTAGGAATGGATTAGCACACCCAAGGCTCGGAATTAGAAACAGAATTCGAATACGTTAAGCACAAGAACATCATTAAGCAACCATTTGAGGTTGATCCTGATCACATTTCGTTGCTGCTGTGGTAAATTTTTAAGTAGTCGAAAGAAAGCAAAGCAGCTTTGACCAGATAATCCCTAATTTCCTCAAATTTACAACCAATCACCACACAGAACAAAGCAGAACTGACTGGAACAAAAAATTCAAGGCAAAATACCTGCAAATAATCGAGACCGCCATTACATGGATTCCAATTGGAGAAAGCTTTCCAATCTGTGACGCAGCCGCTAAAAACCTAATGAGAAGAAGAAAGCAAGAACAGACAGAACGAGCGAGAGTGAGCAAATGCTCGTGAATTTTAGAAAGGCGCGAAGAAAATTGCAGTTAATTATGTGAAACAGTAAGGAATTTACGGCGGGAACGTTCTCGGATTCGATCCGAGACGCGAAGTCTGTGGCCGAAGGAACTTCGTTCAATCTTCGAACTCGCAGAGACGACTCCATTGCTGCGCTGATTCGCTCTCCGACTCACTGAGCTCGGCGAACTAGCACACAACCATAGCAGAGCAGGAGAGAGATTTAGGGTGATATGTATTAAAAATTTAAAACGACTAATTAAAGGAAATATTTTTGTTTTAAATGTATTTAAAATGTTGTCTGCAGTAAGAACGAGCAGTTATGTGCTTTTCTCAAGAACTAATGATTGGTTTTAAAAATATTTCCATCAAAAACGTTTTCAGCCATTTCAAAAATATATTCAAACGAGTTTTTAATTTAAAGAAAATTGTACAAAGGGACGTGATATCCACACCTTCCGTTTTACTTCTCTCACACCCTTTTAATTTTTTAATCATCGGATCGAATAAATGGAAGAATATCAAATGACAGAAATTAACAAGAGATGTGGAAGAACTAAAAAAGGGGTGTGGAAAGCACATCCTTGCACAAATCACCTAAAAGCCCAACCATTTAAAGAAGCTAGGCCCAAAAGAAAGCCCAATCATGAAGAAAACAAAGTCATGGAGGGAGCCAAAGATTTCTTAACGAAGTAACCGAATTTCAAGCCTCCTTATTTTCTTCAGGAACACTCTCTCTCGATCGATCGATCGATTCAGTTCTGTGGCTGATTGAATTCCAGAGCAAAGATAAAAAAAATGGAGAAAAGAAAGAGATTCGAGACCGCCAAGATTTACGTGGCGTACGGTTTTCTTCTGAGCCTCATCGACAATGGCAGTGTTGCTACTGCTCTTTCAATCACCGTGACGGAGTTTGAATGCGTATCAGAGCAGGTTCTACACGAAGGAGACACCGTCTCCGGAAACTTTGTTGCCATCGACCACGACATCTTCTGGAGCTCCGACCACCCTGGCATCGATTTCACTGTAAGCTCCTAATACAAAACTTTCACGTCAAATAACTGAGCATGTTACGCTTTCAGACGGTGTAAATCAAAATCATTACGTAGGTGTCATTGTATCAAAATGCAGAGTCCTAATTTACGAACAACGAAATGTGTCAAATAATTCGTAGAAGATTGTTACATTTCCACTTAAATGGGAGGTGCAATACAACTTATGTGTGGTTTATGCAGGCTACAGCTCCAGGAGGCAGCATTGTGTCTTCTCTGAAAGGAACGTCGGGAGATAAGTTCAAGTTCAAGGCACAGAAAAGCGGAATCTACAAGTTCTGTTTTCGAAATCCTGCTTCGACTCCTGAGACTGTTTCATTCTACATCCATGTTGGCCACATCCCAAATGAGCATGACTTGGCTAAAGACGGTTAGTTCAACATATTTTTTGCTCCTTGGTAGCGAAATATGTACGGTAGGAGAGTCTTTCGAGTTTGAAATTTTGAGAGGATCCCTTTGATTGTTTGCATCGGATTATTCATGGTGATAAAATGGGTCACATTCAATTCAGATTGATCGTTACTCAGTTGTTTTTAGCTTTTATTTTACCACATATGTAACGGGGAAAAAATGTTTTTTAGTCAAAATGATCTATGAGATTGACATAACTCTTCATTTTTGTCTCTGAGATTTGAAATCGTTAGAAGTGGTCTTGAGTCCATCATCAATCATTTTAATTATTCCATAAAAAAATCTTCATTAAATAAAGATAAAAATATAAAAATACTCTCAATTTTATCAAATCATTTTGACCTATTGTTTATTAAATTAAGGATATTTTTGTCATTTTCATTCTTATTTAACAAAATTCTTCACATAATGACCAAAATAATTGATGGCGGACAAACTCAATGACCACTTCTATCGATTTCAAACTCAAGGATTAAAGTGATGAATTATACCAATATCAAAGACCATTTTGACTAAAAACGTCTAAAAAAAAACAAGGTCATTTTCATTTATTGTAATTTTGGTGCAGAACACATGGACCCTCTGAATATTAAGATTGCCGAGCTGAGAGAGGCATTGGAAGCAATCACAACAGAGCAAAAGTTCCTTAAGGCGCGCGATGCCAGGCATAGATACAGTAAGTGTTGAGATTATGAATCCAGCATCCAAGAACGAATAGACTTTGCATGTGCTTATAAGTTGGGTTATTTTTTATATTACTAATTGGTTTCATGATGGAACCTCAACTTTCTTCTGTCAGTCTCGTACGTTTCCAATTGATTGTGTTATCGTCTAACAACATTTTTGTATCGTTGCAGCAAATGTTAGCACGAACAAACGAGTGATCTACTTCACACTTGCAGAGTACCTTGTATTTGCCGGTGCAAGCGCTCTTCAAGTGCTCTACATCCGCAATCTGTTCAGCAAGTCCGTTGCTTATAACAGAGTTTAATTAGGTTCCCATTTTTCTTAATAATCTTCTTATAAATTCGTAACAAATGTTATTTATCTCTTTTTATTGGTAAATAAGGCAACATTACCAGCACATTTCAAACAGTTTTTAGCCTGCAATTTTTTCTTCTGTTTTCATGTTCAACTGTTAGAATACGTGATACCGATCATAATCGACCTCACATACTGTGTGTCGAAGTTACAAGCACGAGTAAATGTCGTTTATGTTAGAATTGTGTGGCTCGATAGAAAGCAAGGACGTGATGATGGACTCGGTACCCTATTCAAAAAAGTACAATAACTTGCAATACAAAAATTAGGTCGTTCATTACTGATAGCATTTCCAAATAAAATGTATACTGCAAGAGCATAAAGAGCGACCTCAAGCTAATAAGGCTCTTTCTTTTGCGAGGATTTGGAGGATCATCTATCTTACACAGTTTTACCATTGCTTTGCAAAGAAGTTATTTTCATGATTCAAACTCGTAACCTTTCGGTGACAAAAAAAACAACATTTTCGTTCCGTCAAGTCCCTAAACCCTATATTGCTGAAGCATGCTTTAGAAAAAATAGGATAGCTACTTTGCAAAACTAAGATTGGGCATGGTTTAATTGTAGTGGCTCAATAGGCATGTGGGGCTCGGCTAGCTTCTCGCGATAAAAATTTGCATGCACTTGTTGGATACTTGTTGACCCTAAAAACTACCAAGTCTACGTGGCGCGCAGGCCAAGTAACTAATGAGCTAATTACGTCATTCAGTTATGTGCGGGGCGTGCCAACTCGTCTGCCGAGTTCAGCCGGGGAGTAAAATATGATGATGTCGCATTGAGCGCGCTACTGACTTCTTGATCTTGTAACTGCGATCAAGTAAGAAACACGTATCGGCATTCGGGTTCTAGAGCTTGTAGACAAGACTACTAGTTCTGCGAAGTTCAATTTCAAATTCGGCTTTCAACGTGCCGAATCGTAGTAAGGTTGATGAGATGACCTCTACCAACAAGGACTTGAAAATCCTTGCCGACCAAGACTTGGATAAATAAGCAGTTGGTCTCAAAGCAATGCTGTTTATCCAAACTCGAAATCTTTGTAGAGTTCAATCGGGATTCTACCACCTTCTCCACATAATATGCGACATCAAAATCCCAAATTCCTGATGTAGACCACGTGCATTTGTGATAATGGCCCCAGGAAACAATTCTAATATTTGATGGTATGGTACCATGCATATCATTCCCTCAATGCCACGTGCTTTATTGGATGACTTATCCATCGATTTCTGTAAAACTTTAGAATGGTGCTATACCCATCCTAATATCTTATCTCCTCACCCATCTTATATTTGCATTCATCATAAACAGTGAAAAAACACAAACTCTTTTCCCACCCACCATTATTTCCAAAATAACCCTTGCTGTAAAAAATAATTATCCTAACAAAATTACCCAATGACTCCAAATATCACCATCCCCAACACCCAACGCCCATCCTCGATCGCCAACCATCGCAGCACTACCATGTTTCGAAAACCGCTTCGGTACCCACTCTGTTGTTTCCAAATTGTCCCAAAACAAATACGATCGAAGTTCTAAGTGTGGAGGATGAAAGGTTTATGATATTATTATTATTATTATTATTAAATCCCATAAGGTTCAGAACATAGCTATATTAATTTATGGATGTTCCAAAACTATCCTGGTTGCAATTCTCAACATTTTTATCTCACTAGGAATTATAACAACTGGGTAGAACTCTGATTGAAATGTCGAATTTGTTTACTATATTTTAGGTTTTTCTGTCAATATAACTATTATCAAGTGTTAATATATGATTGGTTGGTCTTTAGGTCTTTGAAAGTTATTTTATATAAGGATAAATTTGTCAATAAATTTTTTTTTTTTTTAAATGGATGAGGAGATAAGACACTGAGGTGAACTTAATAGTACTCAAATTTTATTAGCCTATTGTCCTCCTTCCTTATCTTTTGCATGGCACCAATTTAATCCAAAGATTGCTTTTAATATTTGAATGCCTAAATCGCAGTTTACGTGGATCTCTATCGTCCAAATTCCCATGCACCAATGACATTCCAATGTGCATCATTATCTTGACTTCATCATTATGCCAAAACCATGCATCCTGACTATTCAAACCTCATCTTAATGTACCATGCTGCTCTAATCTGATAACAAGAATCCCAAGTCCATTTGAACTGTACTACTTGTTTGGAAATATAATTTGCATCTTATCTATCATGTTTAAGAATATGCCAAAACAATACATATTAAAAGATAATTATTATGATAAAAACCATAATATTATATTTTAATAACAAAATTATCTTCACTTTTCCATCCGACGGTTGGGAGCTATGCTCACTCAATGGCCTTGATGGCACGGGCCGATTATTTAATTTTGGGTCCAAACAATACTATAATTTATCTCATATATACTCGAGTGTTACGATGATATGTCATTATAACTGTGAAACACAGACGTTGTGTGCCACAAGTGCATGCAAATTTTTTCTCCTACCTTAGACACAAGATAATGACGCTTCATATTTTTTATATTATCGACGCTAGACCAACTTCATTGTCCTGTTTAACATCGAAGCATTTGTATTAGGCATGGATAAGTGGTCGTTTTATGCCATTTTCTCTTTGTTTCCATTGCATTGAGAGAATATTACAACTTCAAAATGGAAGAGGCCTCAACAGCTGAAAAATTAGGCCCAACTCTAACCGCTCTTCAACTTGTTTCTTACCAATCAGTCAACGGCCCAGAATTGTTTCATCAAGTAAATATTTTTATTTGGTATTGTGCAGGCAAAATTCCAAGGACTGAAACCTTATCCATTTATGACTCTTAGAATTCCAAATATTTGAAATTCCAATATTATACCTCAATTGTTCGTACTAACTAGGGAGAAGTTTTACCAAATCCAAAAAACACAAGCAATTAAAAAATTAAAAACATATATGGGCTCGATTGAAATTGTTTTTAAAATGATTGAAAGCGCTTTTAGAAGAAAAATAAAATATTCTTAAGTTCCAAAAACATTAAAGTGGAAAAAATTCATGATAGTAGAATTTCTTTTATAATTTAATTGTTTTTTTTCTTCTCAAATTTCATTAAGCTAGCTTGTAAGCATGTTTTCACAATGATAGCCTATTACACATATTATTTAAAAATTTTAGTACTTAAATATGTTAAATTCAAGTTCTGTAAGCATTTTGATTTTTTATATTTCCACGCCAAACTTCACCAGGGGTAGCTGCCCCCAGTGGATCTTAGCTATTTCCATCCTTGCACGTAACTTTACCCTCTTATCTTCGGTTTTAGGGTTTATATTCTTCACGCTCATGTCATGTAATAAATATTTTATTATTCAGACAATAATAGATCAATGTCTAATCGTATTTTATACTTGAATCCTGAAAAGAAAAAAAAAGCCACGGGCCTACTAGAAAAGGGGAAATAAGCTATTGCCATGATGTCAATCAAGAAAAAGCAACACTATGATGGAATCATATGGAAGATTTCACGTTTGAAGTATTCAAGCCACCAAAATAGTTCAGATTTATAAAAAAAAAAAAGGATAAAAAAAGAAAGAAGATTCAAAAGTCAGCCATTCGTAATGTCAAAAGACCGAAACTCTTGCATTTCGCGCGTTTTGATTGGTCGTGGGATCAAAATGGAAGGGAAGGGCTGTGCCGCCGTGGGAGCCACTTTCACGCGGTCTGCGAGATGGCGGGGCCCGCACAAGTGTCTGACTCTTTGGTTTTTTTCCTGTCTTCCTTGCAGACACACGCGCGCTTCCAGTGGGGTAGCTTCACCCTCTTCAATCTTCATATGTTATAATTTTTGTACGGTAGATTTGGGGAAATCAAGTGATTAGTGGGATTTGATTGGAAGTAGGTACGGCTGATATTCGCATTAGCAGGCGAGTAGAATACAATTATTTCAATTGTTTAGCAAAATGGTGAATGGTCGACACGAGGACCAAATCACGGTTTTGGCGGGAAACTATTATTTACACAAGGCAGTTCTCGGACGTTAATAAAAATAAAAACTTTAACAAAAAATTCTTGATACTGTTTATTTTAACGAAAAATTATATTTTTACATTAAAAAACCAATGTTGGTACTATTTCTTTTACCCTTTATTTTATATTTATAGTTTAAACTCAAAGTTTATTTATAGTTTAAACTCAAAATTTTCAAATCATTTTTATTAGTTTTCATAAGAAAATGTCAGAAATAAATATTTAAACCTAATTGGATTAAGAAAATTATTAAGTGGAATAACAATTTTTTTTAAAAAAAAACGATATTAACTACACTAAAAGGGTAAGAGGGTAGGTTAAACCTCAAAATAGGTAAACAATTCGTCTTTGACAAGAATTCAACATAAGATCTCTTACTTACAAATGAATAAGAATACCACTAGATCATAGATTAAGTGACGATTTTGTTTTATTTTTAAGTTCTCATGTTTTTTGAAAACCGAAAAATAAAAAGTGAAATTTATTTTTAGGTTTTCAAAGTTTGGCTTTTAGTTTTTTTGTGGCCAAATAGTTTTCAGCTTTTAAAAATATAAAAATTGAAAACAAAATAGGTATTAAATAATTTTCATGTATTAATTTATGATAACTTTCTGAAGGAGGTGAACTAAATTAAAATGACTTTCGACAAAAAAAAAAAAAAAAAAAACCTAAATGAAAATGACTAAAATTTAGTTCATTACCACTTGAAATTGTCTTATTTCGACTCCTTTGAGACCTATAAAAAGACATTGTATATATTAAAAATAGCCATTCATGTCTCAGCTAACCAAAATACCATGGTTGAAAGAAAGGAAATGTTATGTTCTGTGATGATGATCAGACCATGCGTCTTTTCTCAAAGGCATAGCTATAGTTTTTGATATTCACGTTTAGGTATTCATAGTTTTGTGCTATTATATGAAATTTTCTCGATGTTTAATAAAGTATCTTTTCAATTTTTTTAATAAAATAAATATTAACGACGGTGTTGCAAATTGACCCCATCATGTTAGCATCAAATTCCTTGAACATTCTC